GGGGGTGGGGAGGGAAGATACGGGATTATGGTGATGGCACACGGGTGACTTGGTGATGGGAAACCCGTGGGGATTACAAATGAGATGAAAAAATGAGATGTACAAAATGATGTAAAAATAAACTGTTATATAAAAAAAGTGTTGATAAAGTCCAAAGGGAGTGAAGCAATAAAGCAGCAAAATGTAATATATAAGCAGGGGTAGTTGGGAGGAGTGAGAGGTGAAAGGAACAAGAGGCCTCCCAAGCTTGGCAACATTCCAGTTTAGCACCTGTGCACCCCGATCATACACTTTTGTGTGGTTTTCTTTTTTGAAGACTTATTTATTTATGTTTACCAGAACTATAGCCAGAGGTATGGGGAGTGAGAGGATTTACCAGAGACAGAGTGGGGAGCAAAACAGGCAGACTGACTGAAATATACTGCTGAGGGGAGCAGCAGACAACCTGTTGTTTGCAAAGGAATAAGCACAACTTAAACAAGACCAGTTACAGTGAATCAAAAAGACTATAAATTCTAAAATCTGGGTTGACGATTCTTCCAAGCCCCCAAATGCCTGAATGTCTTACTTCTTTATACTGAGAGAGCACTTGTAAGTACAGGAAGTGAGGAAGAAAATGAATTCATCATCACTTAATAGGTTCTTGGGTTCGAGCCACCCAGCCTAGGTTTCCCACCTGAAGATGGAGTGAGAGGTGAAAGGAACAAGAGACCTCCCAAGCTTGGCAACATTCCAGTTTAGCACCTGTGCACCCCGATCATACACTTTTGTGTGGTTTTAGAGGCTGGCGCCCTCAGACAACTGAGGAGAGCCAGAAAGGACTTCTACCACCTGATGACTGGTCAGAAGTGACCGCCTAATACCCCCCAGTGATTGATTCATGAGTCTGTCATTGTCTGACTTACTGTCAGCCTAGAACAGTGGTTCTGACTGGGAAGCACAATTGGTAAAATCAGGAAATATTTTTGGTTACTGTTGGGGAAGGGGATGCTACTGCCTAGTGGGGGGAGGCCAGAGATGCTGCTAAACATCCTTCGGTGCTCAGAGCAGTGAGTGCTGTGTCCATAGCACCACAGGCCTGGGGGGTTGTTAAAGTGGCAGAAACAGCAGAGGGTTGACTGACTCAGAACTTGGGAATTCTACCATGAGACCACTACGTGGTTTGGGGAGGACTTCATACTATATCACTGCCTGTGGCCCAAGGCTAAGTTACAGACAAAAGGTACAGGTAGAGGCTCTGGTGAGAACAACCCAAGATAGGTCTAAGCATTCAGTCCTCAAGAGACTGATGGAGGTACAGATAATTAGTGCAAAACTGACTCTGACTGGTTTGATTCCATTCACTCCCTCTCCCCACCGCTCTGGGACAATATGACCTAATTTCTTTTTCGTATCAAAGGAATAAATTGGTGTAGGTATCACTGGTAAGGTATTAAGTTGGAGTGAGAGAAAAGCAGCAAATTGACAATAGCTTATTTAAGTGCTCATGAATTTAAAAAGAGGGATCTTACAGTAGGTCTGAGACTGGATAGCAGGCCTGTGAACACTGAAATGTGCTTTCATTAAGTTAACATTTGAAGAGGCCGATATAGCTCATTTGGAAGAGTGTTATACTGAAGAAGTTAGCATTTGACTGGGCAACTTCAAAGGAAAGTGAGTCTTTCCTTTAAAGAGTATGCAGAGCAGGATTCTCAAAGTAATATCAATTTCAGAGCTTGAAATTGTAGATAAAAAAACATCCTTGTCTCCTTTCCTGTAGCAGGTAATTTTTTTTTTTTAATGGAGACTTACATTTCCCCGGCCAAAATAATGATGGTGAGTATACTTCCATGTAATGCAGAGCTGGGGAGCAAGGTATAAGAGGTAATGCTTTGGAAAACTCTTAGGTAAGGCCATGCTTGCATTAAGTTGATGCATAAAGGACTAAGCCTAAGGAATCACATTCATTCATTCCTTTTTTCCCTTTAGTAGGCCTGGGCATTTTGCAAAATGGTAGAGATAGAAGCATAGGAGGTGGTACTGTCAATCTATTTAATAAGAGTGTGCAGACAAACAGAAAGCCTGCCAACACAGCATTAAGTTCTCAATCCTTCTGCTCTATTTCTTCTAATTGTGCACACTTCCCAGAGTGAAAGAGATAGTCTGTGAATTAATTCCAAGCCCGGAATTACTAGCTATATAATCGTCAACATTTTAGTAACAACAAAACTTTCAGCTGAGGCTGGAAAGAAACTACTCCAAGACAGGGTGGTCAGAAGAGGTAGGGTTTTATATTTTATCATGTAAATTTATAAATTTACATCTACATGCCTGAGAGTTTGTGACCCAACCTTCGTGATGGAAAGGTGGCTATTGACAAGGAACGTCCACTCTCCGTAGTGTCCAGAAAGGAAAGTGTGGAGTTCAGCACCCTAGCATCAAAAATCCTTCCTTTCTGCGCCTCTACGCAGACTGCGGCTAGACTACATTTCCCAAGATGCCCAGTGGCTGGAGCGGAAGTGGTGACGAGTCGTCCAGCCGCGGGCGGAGTCCTGGGCCGTGACAGGATGCCCACGCCCCTTCCCTGAGGCGAGTGGTGAAGGAAGCTCTGCGTCAACACTGTCCAACAGACAGTTCTCCGGCTTTTACTTCCAGCCCAGTGGCAGCGCTTCCTCCTCTGCCGCTTCACCACCGTCCTCCTCAGGCCCCGCCCCGTAGACGCTGGTTGCAGGAAAACTCGGAAACTGGAGAGCATCTGAGGAGTCGCTCTGGGCGGCGCAGTGCGCAGGCGCGAGCGGCTGGGCTCCCGACGCGCGCGGCGCTCGCTTGAAGCGGTAGCGCGTTCCTGGGTGAGGAGACCCAAAACCGAGTGACCGAGGCCGCCTCTGCCGCCATGGCCGCCTTGCGCTACGCGGGCCTGGACGACACGGACAGCGAGGACGAGCTGCCCCCGGGCTGGGAGCAGAGAACCACCAAGGACGGCTGGGTTTACTATGCCAAGTAAGCGGGCCGCCGGGGAGCCGCCGGGCCTGGGGCGCACCTGGAGTGGGGCGCACCTGGAACCTGACGACCTCACGAGCCCGGGGCGTCTCGCCGCCCTCGGACGCCAGTTGCACGGGGCGTGGCGCCAACCGCGCGCCTGCAGGCCGGGGCCTACGAGCCCAGTGATGGCCCCTAACGCTTCAGTGCCAGGCCTCCGGGGTCCTGAGGAGGCCCAGGGTCCGGAGGGTCGCCTGTCGGCGCGCAGGCGCGCCCTCTGCCGCTCAGCAGGCGGCGCTGCACGGTGCCGTGTGGTGGCAACCTCCCCAGGACTCAATATCCAGAAATGCCAGTGCCCAGCTTCCTCCCCGAGGTCAGGGCGGGCACCTCGGAGTCTGTGTGTGTGACAGATGTCCGATGAAGCTGTTCATGTGCGCCTACACCTGCGCCCGAACATATAGAATAGGGACCGTCGCTGCACCCTTTTCCAAGGAGAGTTTCAGAAACACTAGCAGACCCTTTGTCCCATCACTTGCAATGTGACCTCGGGCCATTGAAAGAACGTTCGGGCACAGCCTTCTTTGTCCATTGCGTTGGCACCAGAGTTTTCCTTCAGGCACTGTCCATAAAGCACGGAGCACAGGTCCACTAGGTACTCTGCTTCATAACAGAGCGTCTCCAGCCATCTCTGCAGCAACCCCTAGGCCTGGCATTAGACCTATACTCCTTGCACTGGCACGAAAGCACGCTTCAGGTCTCCACAAAAACCCTCAGGCCGCAGACCCCCCAAGTGGGGTAGGTGTAGTTTTCAGGTTTTCCAAGGTTATCACGTGACATGGAGAAACATGGTGGGAAAACTTCAAAAAAAAAAAATCCTTTGCTGGGTTTCACAGACAGAGATACTCATTTAATTGGTTTGAGCGCTCTACCCCCACTGGTATGCCATAACCTCCTGGGCGATGCTGATCTACCCAGTGGTGCAAATCAGCTGCCTTTGAGACTTGGTAGAAGGGAAACCAAAACAAAAGATGGGTAGTTCATTCAAAACACACTGGGACTTTGGCATCAGTCAAGCTCTTTGCTGGGTATTGGTAATACTGAAGCAAATGAGACCTGTTCTTTTAGAGGACCCAGCGGTCATGGTGAGACTGTCCCGGTGCAGTAGGCCTAGCACGCTGTGCGTGGGTAGGTGGAGACACTTCAGGCCAGGTAACCAAGTAACTGGGGGGAGTTGGCTCATGAGCTGTGTTGTAGCGCAGGGAGATGTGGGTAGGTCTGGGGACAGGAGGGCAGCCCAGGCATGGCCTGTGCGGTGCAGGGGTGTAAAGTAGAGCCTGAGATGTTGGAACCCAGTTTAAGGGACCCCTCTGAATCTTATGGACAAGCTAGGGCTCTGTCGACGGGACCTAGGGCCCACAGAAGGCTTGGAGCTAGGAGGTGATAACTTTTCTAGCATTAGGGAGCCATTAGCCTGTTGCAGGCCTCCAGGCAGCCCCTGGATTTGTTGTTGCCTCTGCTGCATGGGCCTGTTGTGTGCAGGGCTCTTTTCCTCAGTGCTGAGCTGAAGTATCACTGCCTGAGCTCTTCCCCCTGCACCCTTTTCCTGCACCTCCACCTTGTTACCTTCATAGGGCTTAGCCTTGTCTGTAGTTCTGGGAATCACACTCTTCTGTGTTTGTTGTATCTCCCTCACAGCTGCAAATCTTCTGGAGGCAGGGGCTTTTTCTTATTCATCTCTGAATCACTAGTGCTTGCCAGCTGGGAGCTCTTGTGAAATGAATTCATCTAGGAAGGCTTTCTGTGGGCATGGGGCATCTGGGGACCCTGGGATGCAAGGTTGCACAGGACCCACTGCCTGGCTATTGGCCCTTCCTCTCCTCCTGCTCTGGGTGGCGCCCATTCTTCTCTGGTCACAAGTCACAAAGGCTCACTGGGACACATATCACGTGATGCTATCTAAGACCCACAGGCTAGGAGAGTTCATCATCACCTCTCAGGGCAGGCCTGTCACCAGAGAGCTTACTGATCCGCTCCCCTCCTCAGCGTGGTCCACAGCAGCCCCTCTGCAGAACCAGAACGAGTCCTTCGAGCAGGGCCCTGTTGTGGCCACCAGGTGGGCCTTCCTGAATCCTCCGCCATACTTCTGTTCCAGTTTTTCCCAGAGACTGAGTTGTTCTGGAGGCTCCTTTGTGGGTGCTCACCCCACTCTTCCCCTTGTGCCTGTGTTGGGTGTCCTTTCCCATCTGCTTCCTTCTGGTATGGTGACCAGTGTCTGGGCTTGGGTTGTTTCTTCCCTCTTACTATACTCAACACTCTAGCCAGCTCCTGTGACAGAGTTGGGGGTTGGGGCGGGGGTGGGGGTTGGGGTGGGGCAGGGAACTCAGTGGCACTTCATGGTCTTCAAAAAGCCCCTTCTCCCCCATCTCCATCTCCATTTTTTGTCCTCAAACTGGCCCTGCTGCTGGCACACTCTTTACACCAATTGTGGTGACAAGATTTGGCCAGCTCCACTTGAAGGACCTCTATAGACCCTTGGTGCAGGCCCATTGCCCTCTGCCCCTTGGCTCTTGGGACTGGAGATTGTGTCCGACCTAACTCTGGAACGTGACCTCTCTGACTGGAGGCCTCCTTGTATTTCTTTTCCTGCCTAATACTAGAGTCACTAAACCTTGCCTTTGGGTTTGCTGTGGGGAGATACCCTTTCGATTTTCCTTTCCCCAAATGGTCTTCTGCCTACCGCAGCAGGACCAGGGGCAGGCTTCGTAGCTTCTAGGCAGACAGCCTTGTCCCTCCTATTATGTGGGTTCTGTCAGTGCTCAGTCTTTCCTGCCTGCTTGGTGGCATCCTTGCAGCTCACAGGGACTCACACATCGTGTGACTCTGAGGCCCACCAGGCTCAGCTCCCCAGGAGAGAACATCCTTACTTTTCAGCACAGACACATCACCAAAGAGCTGACTGACCTTGCTCCCTTCCGGGTATGGTCCAGAGCAGCCCCTCTGCAGGAACCAAGACTTGGGGATATGGTGTTGGGGGGATTAGGCCTTTGAGTAGGGGGCTGTTGCTGCCGCCAGCTGGATCTTCCTGGTCCCCCATCCCAGTCCCCTTTTCTCCTGAAGGCCAGGCCTCTTGGCAACCAGTGGGCTGGTGTCCTTGCTCAGTTGGGTGACAGTTCCCTCATCTGTAAGGTGGCTTTCCTCTTGAGTCTTTAAGTTGACTTCAAGTATCTTTCTAAAAATACCCTTGACAAACATGCTTGAAAGTTATGCCCATGTAATGGGGTGTGAATTTTACTTTGATCCCTTTGGTTTGAATTAAAATCACTGTTAATTATCTCTCCAAATGATAGAAAGCTTACTGAAAGCAAAGAAGAAAAAGAACAAAGTAGGGCTTCTGTTTAAGGGAGAGTAAGATAAAATTTTGGTGGTATGGATAGTAATTTTCTGTTCATTAAAAAGTCACCTGATGTTACAGTGAGAAAGAATATATTTTTATTAATTTTTTAAAAGATTTATTTATTTATTCATACAGAACTGGGGTACAGGCCAGAGATGCGGAGGGTGAGAGGATTCACCAGAGACAGAGTGAGGAGCAGAACAGGCAGATCAACGAAGTACACTGCTGAGGGGAGCAGCGGGAGGGTCAGGAGAGGTCTGCCACGTCAAGTGGTCACCTCCGGGGCAGGCGGGGATCGAACCCATGCGGAAGTGGCTTAAGCTTCCCAGTGCAGTGCTTTAACCTGCCGCGCCACCTGGGAGGGCCCTATTTTTATTAATTTTTATACAAAAATTATTCCTCTGCAGCTCCAGGAAGTCCCCATTTTACTGATGGGGAAGCTGAGGCACAGGGAGGTTCAACACATGGTGGGTGACTGCAGAACCAGGAAACCTGGCATCAGGCTCAGGATTCTCCCCATGATACTGTACCCTATAGGGATACTGTACACATCTGGAGCCACATCCAGGGCTATAGGTATGGGGAGTGGCAGAGCGGCATTGGAAGGTGGAGGTCAGAGCTTCTGCTGATCACCCTGCAATGCACAGGACAGTCCCAGAAGGAAGGAACTGACTCATTCCTCTGTAAGGAAGGCTGGGGAAGAAACTCTGGCTGGGACATTGTCTGCCAAAGTTAAGAACTTAAGGTGTATTTATTTATTTAAATGTCTCAGGATAGAAAAGCAACCTTTGTGAGTGAGTTTTACTCCCAGTAAAATGTTGGAAAGCATTCATTTGTTATACATATTTGCACTTGAGCGCCCACAATGAGTCAGGCTCAGCTGGGTGTTCCAGGGTCCACCTGAGGCAGGCCTGCATGTTGCTTACTCACTCCCATTCCTGCTGTTTTTGGCCTTTCCAACAGGGAGAGACCCATAGATGACAATGTTCCTTGGGGGCTGTAGCATAGGGCTGCTCGTGTCATGAGATGTACCATAGAAGTTTGTGTAATTGCACTCTTGGACATCTGCACACCTAATGACACACTTCTCAGAACATCTCCCTGTCAGTAAGTGACTCATGACTGTATTGCCACATCCAGTCACAGGGGCTGCTTGTGGATTCTTGGATTCTTTTGGAACTCAGCTTCCACCTTATTTCACCTGTGCCTATAGGTTGAAAACTACTTAGCTTCAGGAAAGGTAAAGGTAATCCCTCCTAGGAACTTTTTTGAAGATGCACAAGGCATACAGAGCAGTGCAGGAGGGCTGGCTCTCCGTCTGCAAACAGAAAAAGGGGTGTGTAGAAAGGAGCAGGCTGCCCTATGTAGGGAGTCAGGCTCCCTTGGCATATGGGAATGGATGGACCTATAAGGGTTTCTTTTAGTCATGAGTCACTGAGCCATGAATGACCCTTTGGCTCAGTGGTTAGCTGTTCACTAATTATGGTCACACATTTTTGTCTACCTTTCCAGTTATATTTGAGGTGAATGTAGATGTTGTAAGGTGAATGGGGTAGGTCTCCTGCTTCCTGAGTCTAGTGACCCCCACCCATGTCACTGTACTGACCACTGATTGTTTGCAATCAGACTAGAAGCCAACAGTTGAAAAGACAGTTGCTTGTGACTTGCAAGATTTTATGAATGATTCATGCTCCCTGGACTTATTCTTTTAAAAATAAATTATAGGAAATGGATATTCAGATTTTATCATCTAGATGTGAATGATTAAAAGTTATTTTCTACTTTGGCTTGAGTAACTGAACTTTTATGAAATCCAGCTGTCCTCTGAAAACATCTGTCTGGTGGTTTCCCTGATGAAATAATTATCTGTTTTAGTCTGTCACCTGTTAACAGGTGTGCCTAGTCTGTAGTCAGTTTACTGTTTGCTTTATAACTGTGTGTTCTTCTGAGATAAAAAGCTAATGTTGGCAGAGAAATCAGATTAGTTTATATAATTGATTGGCTTGAAATAATAGTACTTTTATGTCAGGTAGTATGTTAATGTCTTTATAGATATTATCCTAACCACATTCCTGAGGTCTCACCAGGATTATTTCCAATTGGCAGATGTGGTAATTGAGGTGCCCAAGCTACTAAAATGATCAGTGGTACAAAGCTGGAGATCAAGGGGCCTGTCATTACATTTACTAACTTTTGAAAACAATTAGCGGTTGATGCTTAAAAAACATACTGAGGGCCTCTCTGATGGCCTAGGGGTTAAATATCAGTGCTGTCATTTCTGTGGCTTGAGTTTGATACCCAGCCAGGGAACTGACCCACATATGGTACAGCAGGCCTCTCCTGTCTTGCCCACTGCTCCCCTTAGCAGAGTTTTTCAGTAAAATCTGCCTGTTCTGCTCACCACTTTTGTGTCTGGTGAATCCGCTCACACCCTGCACCTCTGGCCTGGACTTAAGTTTATCTATGCAAAAATAAATAAAATAAAAACACATTGAGATCTATCTGTGGAAAGAAGCATTTAAGAAGATTAATATTATAGCTCAGTGATACTGAATATCAGCATTATAAATTAGACTGAAGTTTGTCAGTCCCTGTTGGAGTAAAACTAAAAAAAGTGTAAAGCAAAATACCTCGCTAGTTATCTTGATTGAGTCAGTAAGCTTCCTAAACTTGACCCATCAGCTGGGGTGCATGTCCTTTTCTCCTTCCACCATTGTCCTCCACAACTAGCTGATAGAGGCAAGCTTCTGGAAGATTCCACAGATTGTTCCTCCTTCTAACTTGGGGAATGTAACCTCATGCAAGTGGTAACATTTATGTTGTGAATATTTCTCTTCTGAATGTTTGACTTTGCCACTATTGAGAGAGTATTATTTGGGACAGGAAAAATTTAATGCCATTTGTTAATTTTTAAAAGTGTAACTTTTACTAATTATTGCTTTGTGAATATTTTAACAGTCACACTGAGGAGAAGACCCAGTGGGAACATCCAAAAACCGGAAAAAGAAAACGAATAGCAGGAGGTTTGTATGCTGTTGTCACAAAGCAAAGACCTTTGCACTTACAGTATTATCTGCGACAGTGTTGCAGGTGGAGAGGAGCAGGTGGTTTTGTTGTTCTGGGAAGACTTCAGTTCATCAAGGAACTGGAGTTGAACTCAGGTGCTCATGGGATTTCCATGAGCAAAAGTGACATGTTTTGGGGGAGAAAGTGGTGAGGATGGTTTCTTACTGATCTTAAGGAAAAAGTACTATTAAAATAGCAGTGGCCTCTGACTCTCGGTTTTAGATTTTCCTGTGGTCATTCTATTTGTGAAATTGTTGGTTCTACCAAGGAATGAAATATATGAGTGTGTGATGAAATTCCGTCAAGCCTTCGTATGTAGATGCTTCTGAGTGCATGTGTTGTTAACAGAGCAGACAAACACATAAGAGGTCCCTGCCCTGAACAGCGTTAGGGTCTAATTGTAATGACAGATAGCACATATGTGTGGGGAAAAAAGAAACTACTCCATTGTATTGTGGAAGAGGCACCACAAGCCAGCATGTAGGTGTCTTTGGTGCCTGCTGTACCTATAGATATGTCCTGTGATGCATTCAAGGGAGAATGCACATTCATTGGAACCATCTGTACAGTTGTAGGTAAAAGTAGGAACTAGATAGAGCCTTTAAGAAGGAGCAAGGTTTGTTTCCTGAGACAGAAGACATGTGGAGTAGGTTTGGTACAAGGGCCTTGTGCTTGGCACACTGGGGAGATATGACCGAGGGCAGCAATCTGATGACTGTGGGTTGGGGGAGACCCAGCATGAGCTGTAGGGGCACGGTGCCCTCCTGGCCCAGGGGCTTTTGCTCACGCCACCCTTCTCACAAGTGACCCTGTCTGTCACTCTTGTTTCAGATTTGCCATATGGATGGGAACAAGAAACTGATGAGAATGGACAAGTGTTTTTTGTCGAGTAAGTATCGACATGGAAACTCATAGCTTTTTAACACATCCTGGTTTTTAATAGGAATTTTTTGTTATAAAAGCAGTATGCTTTTATAGAAAAATATGATATAGTATATAGCTGTAATCTTACCAGCAGGAATAACTGCTTTTAAATTCCAGTCTGTTTTCTGTATACATCCCTTCTTTCAGAAGTACAGAACATACTGTGTACGCTGCGGAGTAACCTGTTTATTCCATATATTTTTTCTCATGTCTTTTTATTTTCCAAGAATTTGATGTTTAATAACCATAGAGTATTTTGTAGAGGTAAACTATAATTTATGAAATGTCCTATTGGGCATCTGTAATTATAAATAACACTTTGAACACCCTTGTTTGTAAAACTCTTCTTTAGAATAAACTCCAATAATCAACACCCACAGTAGCCAGGTGAGACTGCACCCTGTGTTGGCTGAGGTGCCACCTGGATGGTCCCCTCACCTCTCCCAGCCTGTTAGGTGAAGTGCTGGTGAATGCTTAACCTCAGCTCTCCAGGGGAAAAGCTCAGATTTGTCTCTATGGTGAAAATTCTTTTCCATAGCCAATTGTTGCTTTCAAGTTAAATCACTGGGGAGCTGGGAAGAGACACCCGTGGGGCTCTTGCAAGTTTGTGCAGGCCAACTGCGCTCCCCTCATCATCTGTACATGGCAGTGAATTGATGATACTCACCTGTCTGAAATTGACAGTGTCTTAGTATAGCACTTTTGCAATAAAAAAAGGTGCTCATCATTGGGCTCTCCCTGGTGGCATAGTGCATTAAAGCACAGCACTAAGAAGCTAAAGCCACTTCAGCATGAGTTTGATCCCCACCCTGGAGGTGATCCACATGGCAGCAGACCTCTCCTGACCCGCCTGCTGCTCCCCTCAGCAGTGTTCGTCTCGGTGTCTCTGGTGAATCCTCTCAGCATTCCTGCACCTCTGGCCTGTAGCCAGTTCTATACGCATAAGTAAATCTTTAGAAAAAAAAAAAAGATGCTCACCCTGCTATATTGTGTGTAGTTAAAGTGTAAGTTGGATTACTCTTTGGTCTTAGTATTTATATGGTGATGAATATAGACTTTAAGTTATGTATAATTTTACATACATACCTATTGCAATGCATTTTAAATCATGAACTGTTGTCTCTTTCCTCAGAAATAGTTTTTCAGATAGTTTAAGGTCTTTAGCTATAATTCCATTTGAAATGCAGAATTAAAATCTGTTATATAAAGAGTAACATTCACCTGTATAGCCCAAGATATTTTATTATTGTTTCTACAGAATTCAGCTCATCTTCAAATCAAATTTAGAGAACTTGTATGAGGTATGAACACAGTGTTAAAATTAAAATCATTGGAATTTTGGTAGTTAGCCATGCTCACAATTACGGAGAAGACTTTTATTATTTGAATTTTCTACTTCTCTACCAATCTTATACCCTTGTACAGAGCTGAGAGACTGGGTTGAAATTCCTGAGTACAGTGAGCGGCAGATTTTGTAGTCACATTTACACGAATTATTAGAAAAGAAAAAGAATCAGGTCTTTTACTTTTTTGAGTGTGAAAGATCTAAAGCACTGCTGATTTATGTTCTAGCATATTTTCAGGGAGTTCTGAAGGAAGTGATTCCATGACTATCTGTCCAGGCAGGAATGTAATCCTTCTAGAGGCCAAACAGTGGAATAAATGGACCCCCATCCTTTCAAGGGTTAAGAGGAAACCTTTTTTAGTATGTGAAAAATGGGGTTGCTTAGTCTAAACTGTAAGTTCATCTTATATTTTTAAATTCCTGTGTTCACTGTGGGTAAATTGCTTTCTTTTTCTTCTTCTTCTTCTTTTTTTTGCAGCCATATAAATAAAAGAACTACCTATTTGGACCCAAGATTGGCATTTACTGTGGATGATAACCCTACAAAGCCCACCACCAGACAGAGATACGACGGCAGCACCACCGCCATGGAAATACTGCAAGGCCGGGATTTCTCTGGCAAAGTGGTGGTAGTTACCGGAGCTAATTCAGGAATAGGTAGGTCATTAACTCACAGTTGTTATTATTACTATTGTTTTTTGTCACTGCTATAATGAAATCCACTTAAATCTAGCTATAATAAAATTTTACATAGTGATTCTTTAATTTAAAAGTGCATTTACAGCCTTTGCTACTATCGTTTCATTAAAATCCTGGCCTCTTTAAGTCCCAGTGTTATGGAAGGCTGCATATAGGCCGACCTTGAATTCCCTGAAAGCTGAATACTCAGCAAAAGGTTGTGGCTATTTTGGTATTCAAGCATTAGAAACAACAGGCTCCGTCTAAGAGTTTCTGACCTGGTCTGTGTGGTGTACGGACATATTCCAATTACATAGGTTATTCAGAATAAAATTGATTGGTAATGGAATATTGGAGCAACAGCACACCATGGCTTTGGAACAAAGGGTACTGCAAGTTTCCCTTGGTCCCTGAGAATATCATTTTCCTTCAGAAACAGGATCTTATTTCTTTTAAAGTTGGAGTATTATCCTTGTCTTAACTTCTATATTAACCCTCTTCATTGCCAGTGTTTAATGACAGGCAGTGGCCACCATAGGTGGCCAGGTAGATGGCTCTGGAGGGCGATCTCTGACATCATGGTTTGTGATAAACAGTGGCAAAGCTGTTCGTTATGAGTAACTCTCCAAATGATTCTCTTTTTTATTTTGGTCCATTTACGTCAATATCTGCATCTTTAAGAAACCAACTTCTTTGAGTAAGGATATGCACCTTCAGAATAGTTATATGCAATTATATGTAAGAAAATGGGGTTGCACGTGGTGGTATTTTTCTAGCGCTCTGTTACTTTGAACCCTCACTGCCCCAAGACGTACCCCTCCCCTGTGAGCAGTCTTTTGCATAAGCTCTGTCTCCTCCTTCCTTGGGCATCAGCTCCACCCTCTCCTAGGTCTCGTTCTTAGTTTTTGGTGACCCCTTCTTGAACATCCAGAAATACTCCCCAGCATCATTAGGCCAGCATAGGAGGGGAAACGTTCTTGGAGGACCCATTATTGTATGGGAAAGTCTCTAAAACTCGTAACACATGACAGCCTAGAGTACTTTCTATTAAGTCAAAGAAGCAAATGGATTTTTTTTTTAATTGAAAGGCATTTATTTAAAGTCAACCTTCAGACCTCATTGTGAGTCTGTATTATATTCAGTTCTGTTTTTTGAATATTTGCAGCAGGTTAAACTTGGTGTAATTGTGACTGATGTCAGAATGGCTATCTTGTCAGTCTTCTGTGAAACAGTTTGCTGGGTTGATTGTAGTGACCACTGACATGTGAGGCTGTGGGCCAACACAGTGTAGATAATTCAGGAAAAGTAAGGACTTAAGGACTTAAGTAAAATATCTCTTTTTATTTAGTGCTCAGTTAACCAGAAAATTAACTGGAAGACCTCTTTCCCTTAATCTTCTGGGTAGACTGTTTTTTTTTTCCCCCCTTTAATTAGTAAGATATGTGACTGCTGATTATTTTCTGTGTAAGTGTTCAAGCCGTGCTCTGACACAAACTACCAGACCTTTGGATATGACTGGTGCTGTGCCAAGATTTGTAGTGTCAGGCTTGGGATATTTTATGTCAGGACTAGTAGACTTGGTTCATAATACATACAACGCTGTGTTTAATTGGATATTTAGCCATGACTGAAAAGGAAGAAATTCTGAGGCATTGAGAATGAACTCTTGGACTACAGACTTTTTTGAGGGAAGTCTCAGACACTATGCCTCATCAAGTTCCTGCTTCCCCCCTGGATTTGTCCTTCTCCCTCTCCTAGTCCATTTTGTGAATATTGTGGTTATCTGGCTGGATATTGTGGCAGTTTGTAAAGTTGAGGATTGAAGGGATGTTGGGGAAGGTATCAGGGAGAGCAGCTGTTATGCAGACTCCCCCGAAACTCCCCCAGCCCTGCTTTCCTCTGAAACTGCTTTAGTCCCACCTCACCTCTGTTCCTCTCTCCACCATTGAGAAGCATAGGTCTAGGTGAGTGTTGATTTATTATTAAATTATTCTTAATTTTTTAAAAATAATATCATGCGGAAAATTCCAGGCAATCAAATCCTTGCAAATAACTTTGACTCTGCAGCTGTGGTATCAGGCAGAGAGAAAAGCAGCTGAAGATAGGCTTGTCATTGCAACTCAGATAGCTTTTGTATCCGGCCTGCCTGTCTTAGAAAGTGTCCTTGCTCAAGTAGGCTGTGCTTCTAGATAAAGTCCCTCCTTCTACTGAGTTGTGAAATGTGTCAATTTAGAAATTGCTCTTACCACCTTATTCCTGCCCATTGCAAATGCAGTAACTGAATGTGGAATGAATCTGGCATCTTCACTCCCAATACTTGTGGACTCTGAAGAGTTGTCTTCTGTCACAGCTTTCGTGGTGTAGGCATTCCTCAGGGGTGCCTATTTTCTTTGTAGTCATGGTGCAGTCTCTAGCCTGGTGAATGCCTGCTCTCTTTGGAGCAGAGTGGGCTGGAATGAAATGTGTCAGTATTTATTTCAGACATGATGGCTCCAAAACTATAAACATAGGTCACCGGATGCTCTATAGAAGACTGGTTTATAAATCTGGAATTTCCAGAGATTTCAAAAAATTCCCCACAAGGCACTGCTTTGTTGGACAGGTCTCTGGTTAGGCTCAGTCTGTTGTGGACAGAGGTGGTCTGGTGGGGAAGGGCACACCTATTCATGATGAGCCTCAGGGTTGACTATAGCATTGCCCCCTTTGAAGTGGTCTCAAGCAGATTTTGTCTTGTCCTCTTCTTCCCTCTGATCTCACATAAATCCAAAGAGATATTTTGAATTTTCCATATTTGATGTTACTGAAGCAGTCGGAGGAGTCCTGCTTAATTTAGGTTGAAAAGATCAGGGTGCAGAAACCATACTTTTCCCACTCTGGTGATCACACCTGGTGGTAGAAATCCTATATTGTGGGGGAAAAAAAAAACAGCTTAGGGATGTTAAAAAAAGAGTTCCTTTAAAAAAAAAATCAGGGTGATTCTGGAAGATAGAGGAAGGATTCTGAGAAGGATTCTGTCAGAATAAAGCACTGGGCCTTATAAAATCATTATTTCTGCACTTGACATTTGTTGCCAGGTATCACTGTGACCTAGTTTAGGGTCAGACTGTTGGCCCTTGGGCTACAACTGACCTGCTGCCTGATTTGTAAGTCAAGTTTTACAGGAATGCAGCCACGCCCATTTCTCTACAGCCCCATTTTGTCTATGGCTGTTTTTACCTTACCCAGTGAATTGAGTAATTGCTGACTACACTGTATACTTGTAGATCCTAAAATCTTTCTTGTCTGGTCCTCTGTGCCACTACTGCTAACCCCTGTGGTAGGCAATGTAATAGTTTTCTAAGTAAGATCACCCCAGCATTTCCTAAATTAGTCACCATTCTCATCAAGTTTAGATAAATTGGAAGTGCCAGGAAGGTTGTGGCCACACATCATATGATTTCAACAGTACCCTGCACCCCTTTGTCTCAACTTTGTCTCCACACCCCCTTTATAAGCAGTTGCAGGGATTAGGATGTTACCTCCTCAGAAACTAACACTCTTTTCTCCTTGACCTTTGTTTGACCAGCATTCTGAACCTGAAGAACTTTGTAGATTAAGAGCGGTATTGTGGACTCTGTCTGTGGAAATCAGCATCTCAGTATCCAGGGGGAAGTCACCTGTCCACCCAAAGCTTCTACTAGCAGACCGAGAGACCTGGAACCCACAGTCCCGACTGCTAACCAGTAGAGACGAGGGAGGAGTTTGTTTCTGTTGGTGCTGAGCAGTAAGGGGCAGACATTTTTACAGATGGGAGTTAGCAACTCGATGGCTCTGCTTTGATTTAAAAAAAAAAAAAAAATGGAAAATAGCTTCAACTTGGTTATCATTAATTATAAACTGTACTGCAAAGTCTCAGGAAAGGGAGTTCTTTCGGCTAGGGAATTTCCCACTATGGAAGATCCTCTAGCCACATTGCTAGGCTCAGTCTGAGGGTTGAGCTAATTTGGCTCCCCATGAGAAGAGTTCAGTACAAAACGTGTTGCTGCGATGTGCTCATTGAGGCAGTTCCTTCTCAGGTTCCTTCTTAATTGCCTGACGCATGCATATGAGGCCATGCCTCCTTGGGTCACTTCTGTTAGGGGGATGTTTGTTGGAACTCAGGCAGATTGTTGCAGTGAGCAGGAGGATTTATCATTGTGGGATTTAAGGAGTGAATCCAGGTTTTGTCACATAGCTATTTTAAAAGTATTGAGTATGAGCAAATTAGGTATTTTCAGTCTTCTGTTCATTGGTAATAATGATAAGATGCCTATCTTCTCATCTTAAACCACTAAAGTTGTTAAAATCTCATTTTAAAATCCCATTCAGTTTAGTCACGATGAAAAGTTGCTTTCACATTTTGAACCTTCATAACACTAGACTGCCTAAAATGCTATTTTAAAATCCAGAATAAGCTGGCCTGGTTTTGATTTTTGAGCCAGATGACCCATTAACAAGAAAAAAAAAATCTAATTTTTCCTTGAACTACTAAATTGGGCTACCTTAGTAAATACCAATAAAATGTATTTTAAGACTGAAACTTAAATTTTTTGTTGGTATTTCTGCCATATAATCACCTCCCTAAAGTTTATTATGGAGATTCTAATTTATGTATATATACACACACACATTTAAATATTGACATTTATATATCTTGAGATACAAAAAATACATGGTCAAACTGCCTAAAGTCACTCTTGAATCCAAATGAAGGTATCTAGTTTCCTTGTGGGAATCCCAAAATGTTGCTACTATGGTGTAATTTTGACATTGGTTGTTACAACTTAAGGAACCCATTTTTTAAAGCTTGGAATGTTCTTCCTAAATTATATGTTGAAAGTACAGCATGAAATATAGTTGCCATGTACTTTTACCCTATAAATCATCACTATGATGAAAGCATATCTGGTGTAAATTCTATCAGTTCTGTAATAATAACAAGAAAATTGCATTTCTTCATC